AGAGCCCTCACCAGGGAATGAAATCCACTGGATCTTGAACTTTCTAGCTCCAGACTGTGAGAAATAAATTGCTGTTATTTAAGCTGCCAGTCTATAGTATTTGGTTATGGCATTCCAAGCAGAGAGTACAAAAATACTTTCTAATTTCAATCTCACTTTCCTCTTTGACCCTTGGATTACTGAAATGTGTGTTAGTTTCCAGATATTTGAGAATTTTCCAAACATCCTTGTTATTAATTTCTAATTTAATTCAACTGTGGTCAGGAAAATATTTTATATTACTTGAATCTTTTTAAATTTATTGAGATTTGCTTATTGCCTAGAATCTATTTTGGTTAATGTTTATGTGCACCTGGAAAAAATATACATTCTTCTGATATCGAGTGGAGTTTTCTATAAATGTCAACTAGATCATGTTAGTTAACAATGATGAAGTTTTCTATATCCTTGTAGATTTTCTCTCTACTTGTTCTTTCAATTACTGTGAGAATTGTACTGAACTCTCCAACTATAATTAAGGATTTATCTATTCCTCTTGCAGTACTATCACATTTCACATATTTTGAAGGTCTGTCATTGGTTGTATAAATGGAATTTTTATGTTCACTATATGAATTTACCCCTTTATTATGATGAAACATTCTTTAATCCTAGAAATATTCTTCGCTCTGCAGTATACTTTGTCAGATATAATATAGCCACTTTGTTCTGATGAGTCTTTTGCCATTCCTTTACTTTTAACTTATTTGTGTCGATCGACAGATAGACAGATAGACAGACAGACATTTTTTCTGAGATGGAGTTCACTCATCACCCAGGCTGGAGTACAATGGGGTGATCTTGTCTCACTGCAACCTCCATCTCCCGGGTTCAAGCGATTCTCCGCCTCAGCCTCCGAGTAGCTGGGATTCCAGGTGCCCGCCACATGCCCAGCTAATATTTGTATTTTTAGTAGAGACGGGGTTTCACCATGTTAGCCAGGCTGGTCTTGAACTCTTGATCTCAGGTGATCCACCAGCCTCGGCCTCCCAAAGTGCTGGGATTACAGGCGTGAGCCATAGCGCCTGGCCTTGTGTCTTTATATTTAAATGTGTGTCTTGTAAGTAGCATAATGCAGATGTTCCCTGACTTAATTTGGTTCAATTTACAATTTTCAATTCACAATGATGCAAAACCATCTCAACTTTGATGTAATGTACAATATTCAATAAGTTACATGAGCTATCCAGCACTTTATTATAAAGCAGACTTTGTATGAGATTTTGCCCAATGGTATGCTAATGTAAGGGTTCTGAGCACATTTAAGGTGGGCTTAGGCGAAGCCATGATGTTCAGGGGCTCAGGTTATTAAACATATTTGGCTTATGATATTTTTAACTTACAATAAGTTTATCTGGATGTAATCCCAAAGTCAGTTGAGGAGCATCTATAGTTGGATGGGGCTTGTTTGATCTGACAATCCCTGCTGTTTAATTGGGATATTTAAACTATTTATATGTTATGTAATTATTAAATATAGTTAGGTTTATCTCTTGCAATTTGTTTTATATTTGTTCCATCATTTCTTTGCTTCCTTTGCCTTTTTCTACATTTCATTCCATTAAATAAATACTATTTATGATTCCACTTATATTCTTTGTTGGCATTAGCTGTTACTCTTTGTTTTTCCTTTTAGTGGTTGCTTTAGAGTTTATCATATACGTTTTTAACTTTCACGGACTACCTTCAAATTACATTATACTAGTTTATATATACTATAAAATATCTTACATTCATATACTTTTTTTTTTTTTAAAGACAGAGTCTCACTCTTTCGCCCAGGCTGGAGTACGGTGGCGCAATCTTGGCTCACTGCAACCTCCGCCTCCTGGGTTCAAGCAATTCTCCTGCCTCAGCCTCCCAAGTAGGTGAGACTACAGGCGCGTGCCACCCACGACCAGCTAGTTTTTTTTTTTTTTTTGTTTTTTTTTTTTTTTTTTTTATTTCTAGTAGAGACGGGGTTTCACCGTATTAGCCAGGATGGTCTCGATCTCCAGACCTCATGATCCATCTGCCTCAGCCTCCCAAAGTGCTGCGATTACAGGCGTGAGCCACCGCACCTGACACATTAATATACTTTAATTTCTCCCCTTCCAGGCTTTATTTTATTGTTGTCATCAATTCTACTTACATGTTACATTATTGTTTTTGTTTAAACAATTACTTCAAATGGTTTAATTTTTTAAATTACGTGAATTTACCCATGTAGTTACCCTTTTTAGTATTCTTCATGACTTTGTGAAGATCCATGTTTCCATGTGGTATCACTTTCCTTCTGCCTTACAGACTTCCTTTAGTATGTCTTACATGTGGGTCTGCTGCTGATGAATTCCTTTTAGCTTTTCTATATGAGAAAAAGTCTGTTTTGTACATAAGAAAAAGAGATTTTCACTGGGTTAGTATTCTGAGATCACAGGTGTTTTCCTTCCATATTTAAGGTATTGCTCCGTTGCCTTCACACGTGCATTATCTCTAAAGAGAAATATATTGTCATCTTTGTTTCCTTGCCTGTAACATGTCTTTTCTTTAGAAACTTAAGATTTTCTCTTCATCATTGTTTCAAATAATTTTATTATGATGTGCCTTACTGTAGGATCTTCATGTTTCCTGTGCTCTGGCTTCATTGAACTTCTGGATTCTGTCGTTTATACCATTCATAAAATTTGGAATTTAGGACCATTTTTCAGGTGTCTTTTTCCATTCCCCTCTCTCCTCCAGAGATGAGAATTGCATATGTTAGGCCACTGAAGTTTTCCCATAGCTCACTAATGCTTTTCAGCCCTTGTTATTATCTTTTACTCCGTTTCATTTTGATCTATGTCTTCAAGTTCATTCATCTTTCCTTATGTAATACCTAATGTGCCACTAATCCCAACAAGTGTATTTCTATCTCAGACATTGTAATGTTCACGTCTAGATGTTTAATGTGGGGCTTTTTTAGTATCTTTAATGTTGCTACTTGATGAATATCTGTAACACCGTTGTAGTAACAGTTTTAATGTCCTAGTCTGCTGATTCTAACACCCTTGTCTGTTCTACGTTAGTTCAAATGGTTTATACCATGCCTGTCATGGGTTATATTTTCTTGCTTCTTTACATGCCTGATAATCATTGATTGGTTGCCAGACATTGCAAGTTTTACCCTGTGTGTTGCCGAATATTTTTGTATCACTCTAAATATTCCTTGAGGTTTGTTCTGGGATGCAGTTGAAATATTTAGAAACAGTTTGGTCCTCTGGGGTCTTAGTTTCAAGATTTCTTAGGTGGAAGCAGAGCAGTGTTCACTTTGTAGTTAATTACCCCTCACGACTGAGGCAAGACCCTGGTGAGTGCTCTACCCAGTGCTCCATAAGTTAAGAGGTTCTACTGGGAGGCGGAGCTTGCAGCGAGTGGAGATCGCGCCACTGCACTCCAGCCTGGTGACAGAGGGAGACTCTGTCTCAAAAAAAATAAAAATAAATAAAATAAAAATACAAAAATTAAGAGGTTTCAGACTGCCTGGCAGAATAGACATCATCACTATTCCCGTCGTGTGCGTCAAGCACTCGCCCCTCTCATCTTTCTGGGTTTTCTCCCGGGTCTCCTGTCGTCTCCTCGCACGAATGCACTGATCTGAACACTCTGCTGAATACTCCAAAGGGACTCGCTGAGGATCTCTGCGGTTCAGCTGTGTCCCCTCTGGACTCTCGCTGCCCTGGTCTCCCCAGACTTTCAGCTTCATCCTCTCAACTCAGGGTTCTCATGGGCTCTGCGGGGTCGTCCCTCGCTGCACCGCGCTCTGGAGGCTCTCCGGAGGTGGGGAGCTGGAGCAGTCACAGAGCTCACCGCATCTGTCTCCCGTCTCACGGGGATCACTGGCGCTTTGTGCCTGGTTCCAGGGACTTCGTGACCATTGTTCCTGTGTTTTGTCTGGTTTTGGTTTATTTTGTTTGTTCTGTTTGACTTTCCCAAGCAAGAGAGTAAATCCCGGCCCTGTTATCCATGTTGGCCAGAAGCAGAAGCTGCACTGTCTTTTGTATTCATCTGTATCCACAAACCAACGCTCTAGGATGCTATTTGCACCAAAATATTAAAAGGGTTTACCTCTGGTTTGTGGAATTATGAATTTTATTGTGTGTGCATGTCTGTGAGACTTTGTTTTCTACAAAAAATGTATTACTTTTTATGGAATGAAACTAATAACACAATTGTTTTCTAAAAACAGTTCTATTCCATCAGCATGAGCTCCACCCTGGATAGCAGGTGCCCCTAGGATAAACCGCAGGCTCTGTTACCACCTGATACACTCCAGGTGGCATGATCGTGGCTGCACCCTCAGCTCACAGGGCAAAGCTGGTGAAGTGTTGCCAAGCAGTTTCCCGGGGCAGCAAGGGAGTGTGGAGCCGCACCCAGAACCTCCAGAGCGCGCTGCTTCCACGAGGCAGCCACTGACACGCTGGAGCCACTGACACGCTGGAGCCACTGACACGCTGCAGCCACTGACACGCTGGAGCCACTGACACGCTGCAGCCACTGACACGCTGCAGCCACTGACACGCTGGAGCCACTGACACGCTGGAGCCACTGACACGCTGCAGCCACTGACACGCTGCAGCCACTGACACGCTGCAGCCACTGACACCTGCAGCCACTGACACGCTGGGAGCCGCAGGTTCTCAAAGGTTTAAATATTTTTATGGAACACCAGTGTTCAAATACAAACACACTGACACCCTTCGGGCGCGCACACACACACACACACACACACACGTCATCTACAAGAAATAACACAATGTAGAAGCATTTTCACTGATACCTCAGAGAAGGGAGACTGAAAAATTCCAATGGTCAAGAGTAGAGAATAAAAATTAATGATATAGTTCAATTTTCACCTTGAAGATATGTAAAATACCTTGCACTTTCTAACACTTTGTCTTTATTACAGTATATAAAGAAATTATACCCTAATATTTATAGGGGGCTTTCAAAGAATTTATTTCTAAAGACATTCATTTCTGACCCTTAAAAAATAAATTTTAAGTCCTTTATCAGTAAATTAATCCACCACAGTTAAGAAGGGAATCCCGTATCTCTAGTGAGAGGGGACAGGTCATTTTGTTTATAATGTAAGTTGGAAGAAACCTCAGTTCCTATTAATAAAATTAATATAACATACCATGACTAACTATATCATGCTATCCAGTCATTTCTTTAAAAACTGACCAGAATGAGTATGAAGTCAATTCAAGCCAGTTAACTCTAGGATTGAAGGACCAGTCACCGAACATCCCACTCTTGAGATGCCCAGTAGCACTTACTATGAAGAGGTGGCGTGATGATCTTCATTTCTAACAAAGGCGTCCACGTGGGGTAGAGCGCTAAGTAAGTGGAGGTATGCGTTTGTTGGAAGCAACCCTAGCATGCTGGTACGTACCATCTTCCTCAGCTCCTGGTTGGAAACAATAATGACATTTGGAGGGTCCCCGATGGCAGTGGCAGCTCCTCCAATGTTTGTGAAGATCACTTCTGCGATCAGGACTTGTCTGGGATCGAGGTTGAGCACCTCACACAACCTGTCACAAATGGAGGAAATGAAAGTAGTCCCACTGTGCACATTGTGAAAGGCTCACGTGCAACCCAGAGATTTTTAAGGCACTTGTTCGTACAAGGGAGGTGCGCGCGCACACACACACACACACACACACCTGTGGGGAGGGCAGCGCTGGGGGGAATGAACAATGCAACAACCCCTGCAGGCCACAGCTCACTCCAAGAGCTACATTCCTTCCCAAGTGAGCCTCCAGTCACCAAACCCTCAGTGTGATCAGGTGCCCTTTCCCCAGCGCTCCCAGCTGGTGCTGTGGGGGTTGGTGTGGAGGGAGAGCGGATGGTCACACAGGGCCTGCTGACTCAGCCCCTTTCCCACCTCCCGCTTCCTGGACACCAAGGCCCTAGGTTCTCTCCTCGTCCCCTCCCTTTGTTTCATTCATCTATGCATTTTCTATTTATTTACTTTTTATTGCTATAATACATACTAGATATACACATACACACGTACATTTTCAGGGTACGTATGATAATGTAGTAATTCACATAATCAAACCAGGTAACGGGATACCCATCTCCTTAACTATCAATCTGTTCTTTACCCTGGGAGCATTCCAGTTATTCTCTTCTAGCTGTGTTGGAGTACAATCGATTCGCGTCAACTGTATTCACCCCACAGACCTGTCAGGCCACACTCTACAGCTGTGGAGCTCCACCGTGGCCTCACGAGATTTGTGCTAGAATCTGGGAGTCCTATGGCTTGGCCGGCGCAGACCAGTGCCTGGGAGTGGGCCCGGGCAGTGGCGCTCTATAGCTCCCCAGGGACCCAGCATGTACACAGCTGGGAAACATTGCCATAAAGAAAGTGCAGAAGGCACATCACAGCGTCCCCCACACCTGCTCATCCGCACAGCCCACTCCCACACAGGACCCGGCCTCGGGTCTCACTCAGAGGCCACCCACCACCTCCTGGCCATCAGCTCAGAGTGAGGCCGGCCACACAGCCTCCCCTCTGCTGGCATGAGGAGCACAGGCCCATGGAACCATGTGGGAGCTGAGGAAGGAGCGTGCCTGGGGACTGAAGCAGGAGTGGCTCCACAGATGAGACTCTGCCCCGAGGCAGCAGCGGCACAGTGCTAAGGAAGCTCCCAGGATCTGCTTCTAGCAAGAAAATATGTGTGTGTAGCAGTCAACAGTGCCAGACCAGGCAGGGCGGTGCACCCATCTCAATGGGACTAGCTGTTAACTAGAAGGACCAAAGCCACTTAGCCCAGACAAAGGGGAAGAATGTGGCCAGCACTTACAAAGCCATAAAGAATATGGTCAGATAAATAGGGAATCTTAGAACACCAGCACCGGAATCTTGAAAGATGCAAATTTTTGACTAATAAATGGAATTACTGCTCTAACAACATGACAAAAGCAGTTCCGAGTAGTGAGGATATGAACAAATTGTGGCAAGGCTGAGATACCTCTCAGCTGCCCGGGCTATACGGGGATGCTGGGAACAAAGTGCCCAGCGCACCCCAGCCCTGGAACTCTGCTCTCACCAGGCTGCCATGGGGGAGCGTGAGGATATGCGGAGGTCTTCAAGCCAGGGCAGCAGCAGAGTCATGCTGGTTAGAGGGGGCAGATGGGCCTGACTCTTGTCCCCCGACACGTCCAGAAGGCACAGTTTGGTGCCATCACTAGTGCATGTGACAGTGTACAGCAGCCTTCAAACATGTTCACGCCTCCCTCATTGACTCTCCACCTGGGCACTGAGAGGGGCGGTACCATACCCTGCGAGGAGGCTGAGAGCCCAGGGTCCCTCCCATGCCACACAGGGCGTGACAGTGTAGCCCGGCTTGCAGGAGCCTGGGTACAAACCTGAGTCTCCACACGGAGGCAGCAGATGGCCTGGGGATGCTGCATCTACCTCCCCAGCAGCGCTGGCCACTCCGTGCTCCTCCCCACCCCACTCCTCCTCTAAGAGCCACCACTGTTCTAACACAAAAGGCATCCCCCAGATTAACCTGGAGCCCTGGAAGCAGTACCACGGGGCCTTGGAACCTGCTGTGTGTCCCATGCCTTGTGTCCAGGCAGGCCCTGTGTCTCACAGAGCCCTCAGAATGCCAGCTCAGGTTAATCTCTTTGCCGTTATGACCCAGATCAGTACACCTGAAGTGACTTGTTCAAGACACCCTATTACAAGCAGGACCGGAGGGTGACTCCCTGAGGGGCCCCTCTCTCGCCTTCTCGCCCCGTGTCCTCAGGGCCAGCCCCAAGGCTGACATGCTGGGGAGTCATATTTAAAATAGAGAGCATACATATGGAAACACACAGGTCCGTGCCTTCAGAAGGGGCCCACACGAGGACCGGGACCACAGCTCATGCTTCAGAAGATTCTGGGTAAACAGGCCTATGGCCCCCAATAAATAATAGATGATTAAAGTGGATGGAATTAAAAGAAACAGAATTGAATTGAGTGGAATTGAATGGGGTGGGGTGGCGTGGGGTGGGGTGGCGTGGCGTGGCGTGGAGTGGAACTGAACTGAACTGAACTGAACTTCTCTTTCCCAGAGTTGCCCTATAAAGCTTTGCCAGACTGAACTTTGGTTCTGCTGAGCCCCATTGGTCCTGCAACCCTCCAAGCCTCTGATGAGGAACCTTGCGGTGGCTGTTCCACCTCCCCCCAGCTACATGACCCTGTGAGCCCTCGGCATGTGTGTGACCTGCCAACCCAGCCCAGGTGGCAGATGGTGATGGAGAAGAACAGGGACAAGGACTTCTGGTACCTGGGCACCTGGTGGTCTGGGGTGAGCTGTTTTTTTGGTTTTTTTGTGAGACGGAGTCTCGCTCTGTTGCCCAGGTTGGAGTGCAGTGGCACAATCTTGGCTCACTGCAACCTATGCCTCCCGGGTTCAAGGGATTATCCTGCCTCAGCCTCCCGAGTAGCTGGGATTACAGGCGCATGCCGCCACACTCAGCTAATTTTTGTATTCTTAGTAGAGACGGGGTTTCACCAGGGCTGAGCCATTCTTGTCCACGTGTCTCCCCATGAGACTACAATCTCCAGGAAAGCACAGCCTCTATCTTCCACCTCCCGCAGACATTTCTGCCACCAGCTTCTGAGGCCCCACTGCTTGTAGCATGTACTGCAGTCACACAAAGCAGACACGAGCTGGACTGGAATGCACTGAGCTGTGGGCTCAACCGCCCACCTTTTCATGCACCTGAGAATGGAGCCTGGAGCCAGGCCATGCAGCCAGAGCCCATGCCTGCCAGAGCCTGGCCACAACCCCCACGGCAGAGGCGCTTTGCATACCTTATGGTCACAGGCGTGAAGAGGAGCATGGTGGTGACGTTGTCCAAGAAGGCAGAGAGGACGGCCGCGATGAGACACAGCATGATGATCATGGCCCACACCCGTCCCCGGGAGAGCCGGTATGCCTGGCCGCACACGCAGAGTACAAGCCAGTCAGCAGGCTCATAGAACAGAGGCAGCCTTTCATTAGTGACTTTAGGAACAGGGAGCCAAACTAACATTGCCCCATGGGTTAAGATGTAGATCCACGGAGTCCCGGGGGGGCCGAGAGGAGAGAGTGCTGGCCACCAAAGTTCCTAGACATTCTACACCCTCCCTAGCCAGCACTGTCACCCCTCTGATCCTCCTCCTTCACACAGCCCCTGTCATGGTTAATTTGTCACAGGGTGATGACCCTCAGTCCCCGTAATGCCATCGGTATTCTGGTTAGACAACCTGGGCTTTGACATTTGGGATCCACGTGAGCCTAGTGTCTGCTGATCTCTAGGGAACTAAGGGATACTTTTAATAGTAAGGAGTAATAGACCAAATATCTACCTGGCATGTACAAGATGGGGCACAAAGATGACAAAATCACAGCATGGTTCTATCATTCAAAGTTTGCAAAGGGCTTTGTTGAGTAATTTTTTTTTTTTTTTTTTTTTGAGACAGAGTCTCACTCTGCCACCCAGGCTGGAGTTCAGTGGTGTGATCTTGGCTCACTGCAGCCTCCACGCCTGGGGTTCAAGCAATTCTCTCGCCTCAGCTTCCCGAGTAGCTGGGACCACAGGTGCATGCCACCACGCAGCTAATTTGTTTATTTTTAGTAGAGACGAGGTTTCACCATGTTCACCAGGATGGTCTCAATCTCTTGACCTCGTGATCCACCCACCTTGGCCTCCCAAAGTGCTAGGATTACAGGCGTGAGCCACTGCGCCCGGCCTGTTGAGTAACTTTTAAAAAGACCTTGGCCGGGCGCGGTGGCTCAAGCCTGTAATCCCAGCACTTTGGGAGGCCGAGACGGGCGGGTCACGAGATCAGGAGATGGAGACCATCCTGGCTAACACGGTGAAACCCTGTCTCTACTAAAAAAATACAAAAAACTAGGTGGGCGACTGTAGTCTCAGCTACTCGGGAGGCTGAGGCAGCGTAGACCCGGGAGGCGGAGCTTGCAGTGAGCTAAGATCCGGCCACCGCACTCCAGCCCGGGCGACAGAGCGAATCTCCGTCTCAAAAAAAAAAAAAAAGACCTTTTCAGTTTCAAAAACTATACATATTCAAGCACAGCATTAGACTGCATTAGCAGGGCATGGTACACGATGAGCTCTCCTCTTGCCAACCCTGAATGACAGGTCAGGTACAAATCCTGGAGGCTAGAGCTGGCTGATGAAGCTCCCCAGGGTTCCAGTTAAAAACATAAATGTGTATATATTCAATATTTAGGAAGTAATCATGGAAATTATTTCACCAAAAAGCAAAGTAATCAGAAGCTAATGGCTTGAAATATTGGGATACTCTAATATGCAAAACAATGTTTGATGTGTAGCTCTCACCAGACAATTTAAATAATACACAAACATTCAACCTAATACCCTTTTCCTTGACCTCCTTCTTCATTTATTTACTGAGCAGCTGAAAGTGCCACTCAGAGCCATACAACTTAACACAGTCAGCATAACCTGCCCTGCAGAAGTAACCTTTAAAAGGAGGATGGAATTTTTTAATGTTTGTTTCCTAAATATATAATGTCAGAAAAATACAGATATAAATTAATCAGTATGGAATTATTAAATGCAACATCATACCTACCTTTACAGCACAGTAATCGAAAAATCCCGTTTCTGAAAATATGGCTACTAAGATCATCTATGGGGAAAAGAGAAGAAGACAAGGATAACCTTTTAGCAGGACACCATATTAAAACGACATCAGCATGATCCATTACACATTTGAGCTGTGGCCTCTGAAAGCCACCACATTGCCAGGCTCCCCACTCTGAGATGCAGAAACACCGTCGCTTCCTGGAATAGTACACTCACTTCCTGGCACACTCACTTCCTGGTACACTCACTTCCTGGCACACTCACTTCCTGGCACACTCACTTCCTGGTACACTCAGAAACACCGTCGCTTCCTGGAATAGTACACTCACTCGCTCCTCGAATGGAGCCTCTTGCTAGCGGTTTTGTGCCTACATGTGTGTCTGGGGATTTGTCCTCAAGGCACATTACCATCCCATCCGATCCTCAAAAAAAAAAAATCAGGTGTTATTTTCACCCTCTGTTTTATAGACTAGGAAATGAGATCAGAGTGCAAGGAGGCTTGCTCTCAGCCACAAAGGTAGAAGCGGGGCGGGGGCCAGCACGTGGCCTTCTGCACCTACGTGTCCACACAAGCAACACTTAAACATTCTGCGATGCTAAAAGTGGGTTCGATTTTGTTTTCTAAAATAATTAAACTGATTTTTGTCACCAATTTGGGAGCAGTTGTATTGAAACGATTGCTCCCTGGATTCCAGGTGAACCCAGAATGCCTGTTGCCTGTTTCTTTCCAGTGAGGATGATGAGTTGGTGAAAACAGCTATCCTGGATCCTAATAAAAAGTCATGTCCCAGATAGTCCGAATTTTATCAACCAGACATTGCAACTACTGAATGTTCTGGAAGTTCCTCTGCTTCACCTCTTAGATGGCAGTCACCATGTGTTGAACTTGGAATGAGAAGATGCAAGTTCAGATCCTGATTCCGCCACTTAAAAATAGTCCGAACTTGAGGCTGGGCGCGGTGGCTCACGGGTGCAACCCCAGCACTTTGGGAGGCCGAGGCGGGCAGATCACAAGGTCAGGAGATCAAGACCATCCTGGCTAACACAGTGGTGAAACCTTGTCTCTACTAAAAAAAAAAAATACAAAAAGCTAGGCATGGTGGCGGGCACCTGCAGTCCCAGCTACTCGGGAGGCTGAGGCAGGAGAATGGCATGAACCCAGGAGGCGGAGCTTGTAGTGAGCCGAGATCACGCCACTGCACTCCAGCCTGGGCGACAGAGCGAGACTCTGTCTCAAAAAAAAAAAAGAAAAAAAAAAGTCCGAACTTGAACAAAAATATGAATTAACCTTTCTGTCCCTCAGTTTTTTCACCTTACCTCTGAATGTTCTATACTTCATCAGGTTGTGAAAATGCAATATAATTATTCAAATTACAATACTTGGTAAACAGGAGTCCCAGTAGACACTACTGTCTCTTAAATAAACTATAGAAAACAAAAATGTCCCCAGTCAATTTAGACCCAGTGTAAATATCCATCGTGTCCAGAGTGACCATCAATGTTCATCCTCACCCAAAAGGCCACTGAGAGCTGACGTTGGAACATGGGGCTTCGCACACCAATGGACATGCACGAGCAGACAGGCGTGTGCAGACCCGTGTGGCGTTTACACATTTGCTGACAGAACCACCATGGGAGACTGGAACTCAGGGATGGGGGTAAATGGCCCTGTGGGTGGTCAGCTGCCAGGAAATGGGGGAGAAAAGGCAGGGACCTGGTTGTAATGACCCTGCACCGTGCAGTTCCAGCATTGCAGAACCTGCAAGTGCTCGCGGAACTGAATTCCGACGAGAAAAAAACACCAACGCCATTTTTATAGGCTGAACTGTGTCCCTCAAAATTCATATGTTCACGTCCTAGCCCCCAGTACCTGGGAACATGACATATTTGGAGTGACAGTGTTGAAGGAGGTAATTAAGTTAAAATGAGGTGGTTAGGGTGAGCCCTGATTCAGTGTGGCTGGTGTCCTTACAGGAGGAGGGTCTCAGGACTCAGAAACACATGGGGAAGACAAAGTGAAAACGCAGGGAGAAGGTGCCATCTACAAGCCCAGGAAGAGAGGCTTAGGAGAAACCAACCCTGCCCACACCGTGATCTCGGACTTCCAGCCTCCAGAGCTGTGAGGAAATACATTTATATTATTTAAGCCAAATGGTCTGTGGTACTTTGTCACATAGTCCTAGCAAACTAATATAGCATTCCTTTTTTAAAACAGGCATATCTCAGGGATATCTGGCACATTTCCTCTCTTCTATCCAGATGCCCAAACTCTGTATACGTCTCAGGCCCGATACAAATATGAGTTACTCTGTGAAGCCGGGGCTAGAACACTCGCCTGCCTCCCTGAGCACTGCCCACAGAGGATGGCGGCACGGTCTCCAGTCAGGTCACATGGAAGCCTAACGTAGCTGGGCCTTCTGTTATGTTGGCCAGCCTTGGGAGGGATGAAACGTTAGCAAGGAAAATGAGGATCTATAGTGCCCAGCTGTACACAGAGCAAGTCTTCTAGCCCAGAGAGGAAGAGCCCTCCTGCAGACCACTGGACTGTTTGGGGTCTGCTCAGGAACACGTGGGCTGCCCCTACTGCCAGGCCCTGGCCAGGCTCCACTGGTTCTCGTTAAGCTGGGTCATGACTCGTGTCCCACACTAGCCCGCTGGGGCATTTCGAGTTCCTGCAGGTGGCGCTGGTGGCATTCCTCGCAGCACAGAGTGGCCACTGGGTAATATGATCAATTAGCAAACACCCGAACTACCGCTTAGGAGTGACACCTTCCTTTACTCACATCATGAAAGGTACTCTCTCTTCCACTGAAACTCCTACATGGTTTGTTTATTTGGGATACTCCATTTTTTTATTTTAAGGGCAGTAACTCAAAAGAATTACTAGCTTTTCTAAATAGCAATATGATTTCATCGTCAGACATGCCTTGGGCTGGAATTCTCCCGCTAACGAACCATAGCCCCATTCCGTTCCTCCTCAGGAGAGATTCCGGAGACCCGCTGTTGCGGGAAGTCAGGGACCCCGAACGGAGGGACCGGCTGAAGTCGCGGCACAAGAACATAAATTGTGACGATTTCATGGACATTTATTAGTTCCCCAAATTAATACTTTTATAATTTCTTACGCCTGTCTTTACTGTAATTTCTGAATATAAATTGTGAAGATTTCATGGACACTTATCACTTCCCCAATCAATACCCCGTGTTTTCCTACACCTGTCTTTATTTAATCTCTTAATCCCATCATCTTCTTTGTAAGCTGAGGAGGATGAGTGTCGCCTCAGGACCCTGTGATTGTATCAACTGCACAAATTGTTTGTAGAGCATGTGTGTTTGAACAATATGAAATCTGGGCATCTTAAAAAAAGAACAGGATAACAGCGATGTTCAGGGAACAAGAGAGGTAACTTTGAACTGGCCACCGGTGAGCCAGACGGAACAGAGCTATATCCCCCCTCTTTACAAATAGGAGAAATATCGCTGAATTCTTTTTCTCAGCAAGGAACATCCCTGAGAAAGAGAATGCGCCCTGAAGGTAGGCTTATAGACAGCCCCTTTTAAGGCGTCCCGTTGAAGCCGACAGGATGAAATAAGCCCCGGTCTCCTATAGTGCTCCCAGGCTTCTTAGGACGGGATTCCCACCTAATAAATTTTAGTTAGACAGGTTGTCTGTTCTTAAACACTGTTTCCTGATAAGATGTTATCAATGACAATGCGCCCAAAACTTCATTAGCAATTTTAATTTCTCCTCCACCGGTGGTCCTGTGATCTCGCCCTGCCTCCATTTGCTTTGTGATATTTTATTACCTTGTGAAGCCTGTGATCTCTGTGACCCACACCCTATTCGTGCCCTCCCTCCCCTTTTGAAAATCGCTAATAAAAACTTGCTGGTTTTACGGCTCAGGGAACATCACGGATCCTGCCGACATGTGATGTCTCCCCCGGAAACCCAGCTTTAAATTTCTCTCTCGTGCTCTTTCCCTTTATTTCTCAACCCAGCCGAGACACTTAGGAAATAGAAAAAAAACCCATGTTAAACATCGGGAGCGGGTTCTCCCGATAACCGGCACTGACACTTCTCAGTCAAGCCCTAGGCACTGTGTCTTTAACAGAATGAAGGATCCTCAGCAGTGGAGGCCAGAGAAGGCCCGGTTACCGCAGGCGTGGAGCCCAGTCCCACGGGGAGGGCTGTGATTACCATGCCAAACAGCAGGGCCAGCGTCTCAAAATCAATCCACTCCACCACATGGGTCAGGCTGGGTCTCTGCAATCAAAGCACAAATTTGCCAATTAATCCGTGCGCCGCCATCCCGGTGATGAGCCTAACGACGCGCTGCCCCCTGCTGCAGACCCACTCAGTGGGTGGACCAGGGTTGGAAATCTCACCATCCACTTGCCTTTGAAGTTAGATTATATCGTTGCTGAAAAAACAGTGTTGACCCAGGACATCTATAATGTCAAACCTATGCATTTAGTGATACATTTTTTCTAGCCCCTGCCTCTGGCAGCTCCCACATGCAGGACTGGCCCTGGTTGCATTCCCAGTGGCGTCTGTATGTGCTCTCTGCAGCGCCGTGCCTGAGGCCAGATGACGGGAACTGGCATGGCCACCTGTCCCACTCTAAGCTGGGTTCCAGCACTGCCTCTCAGACAACTCTGGGCCTCAATCCCCAGTGGCCACTGGTCTCTGTTGTTTCCCTACATTTGTTCCCCATGTCGCTGCCAGAGAGGCCCTGCTCAGATCCAAACAGGACACTCTCATCCCCAAACACACCTCTCCAGGGGCCTCCTGATCTCTGCAGGACAGGCCCTGACCCCAATGACTCCCACCTTTCTGCACCAGCTAGGATGGTCCCCTCTAGTTCCAACACCCAGATCCAGCCCCACCACAGCCCAGCTCCTCAGCCCTAGGCAGACATGCCCATGAGCAGCCTTTCCTCAGGCACGGTGAGGAATCACACCACTGGGATGTGAGTGTGTGACACAACCTATGAAAAATACTCTTCATGCTGTAGCTCGTTAGTTCATACCTCTAGCCTGGTTCCTGAGCAAAAACATGGACGTGGCATGTAAGATAGTGAAAAAAAACAGCGAAAGCCTGAATCCCGGAACGTCTTTGAGCTGACGTTCCACTGAGTGGTGAGCCAGGGACTGGGACTGTGACAACTTACGTCGCCAATCACAGCCAGCGCTGCCAGCGCCGCCAGGGAACCCAGCATGGCCGCCAGCGTTCTGTGCACGATCTGGAAAGAAGCACAGGAAATTACTGCGTTCCAGCCGCGAGGGAGTTAGCACACACGAAGGCCTGCGTGGACGTGAGGGGCCTGTATCTGCCACTGTGTACACATCTATTCAAATGACGAGTCACGGGTCTGGATGCGTCAGGCCTGGACACCCACAGACACACACAGCTACCACCAACCTGCCTTCTTAGGGAAGCTGCTTGCATTTGCTAAATCATTAGATGACCCTAATAAAGCAGGGGAAGGCCGGATAGAGCATGTTCTCTAAGAAAGGCCATAGCAAACTGTCATTAATTATTTGCCACATGATCCCTTGGCAACTAGCCCATTCGTTTGGCAACATAAATCAATTCCTCCCAGTTACTAGGCTGCTATTAAACCAAAGGTACACATTCCAACACTTCATCAAATTGAGACTTCTGTGTTATCACAAAAGCATCTTTTTATTTGATTATAATTCAAATCGAAGTGGAATTTCTAAGACAAAATATGGGAAAAGGCCGAGATGTGGAGAACTGGAGCCCCCATACATTGCTAGTGGGAATGTAAAATGGGCTAGTCACTGTGGAAAGCAGTTTGGCAGTTTCTTATGAAGTTAAACATAAATTTACCATATGACCCAGCAATTCTACTAGGAATCCAGTCAACAGAAATGAAAACACATGTCCACACAAAGCACTGATGCTCATAACAACATTATACAAAGGAGGCGAAAACTGGAAACATTCCAAATGTCCATCTGTGGTGAAGGGATAGGGAAAATGCGGCACAGCTCGTACATGGATGAATGCTTAGAAGTGATGCTGGGGAAAGAAGCCAGACGCAAAAGATGGGGTCGGTCCATCTATATGAACATTCCAGAAAAAGTAAATTTAGAGAAACAGAAAGATCAGGGCTACCCAAGGCTGGGGAAAGCAACAAAGGTTGACTAGAAACAGGTCCCAGGGATCCTTATGGGGTGATGAAATGTTCTAGAACTTGTCATGGTTGCAGAATTCTAAATCTGGTAAAAATAATTTCATCGTACATTTCCAAAGGGTGAAACTATGGTATTTAAATTATACATCAATAAATTTCTTTTAAAAAAATACAAAAAGAATGTAACAAGAACAAGCAGAAAATTAAACGCTAGCATGCATTACTCATTTCTTAATCCCCTAAAGGGACTTTCACTCCATTTTTTCATGGCTTCCATCTCACAGAACCTGACTCCCTTTACCAGTCATTACCTGAAACTCAAATTCTGACTAAAATTATTTCATTTATAATGTGTACTACTAGATTCAAAGTCCTTTTTTCAAGAAATGTGATACTAGGTGTTGGCTTTTCACAGTTTCAGTTTTTAAGAGTTGTTTTGTTTTAAATGTAAATACCTAAAATCCAGTAAGTTGCTACCAAACTCTAATAATTCCTTCTGTTCGTTCTCTGCTTTTCAGTCTCAGTTTAGGACCCTTTTTTCCGAGACGGAGTCTCACTCTGCTGCCAAGGCTGGAGTGCAGTGGCACAGTGTCAGCTCGCTGCAACCTCTGTCTCCTGGGTTCACGCAATTCTCCTGCCTCAGCCTCCCAAGAAGCTGGGATTACAGGTGCCCGCCACCACACCCGGCTAGTTTTTATATTTTTAGTAGAGACCATGTTGGCCAGGCTGGTCTCCAACTCCTGACCTCAGGTGACCCACCCGCCTCAGCCTCCCACAGGGCTGGGATTACAGGCATGAGCCATTGCGCACGGCCAGTTTTGGACCCATTTTAAGGATACTTCCTTATCCGATGCCGAGGGTGGCCCCAGGAAGCAGGCAGGGCAGGCATTCATCCCCGACTTGACAGCCATGGCACCAAGAGTGGAGGTTCACCGGCTGGACATGGTGAGCAGGCGCCAGAGCCAGGCTGCCCTCTCTGCCCCACACAGCGCAAGGCAAAGACACTTCCCACTTCGGTATGTCTCTTTTTTGGCACTTAATTAAGTCTTCATGAGAAGAACAGGATGTGACAGCCCCTGGATGACAGGAGGAAGTCACTGCAGGGACGAGCAGAGAGGGATGCCGTCCGCTCCAAGCCAGCCCTGTGACCTCAGCTGTGACACGTTCCTTTCTTCTGGCTTAACCTTTGGGCTAACTTTGTCTGCGGGGAAAAGAGACTTCCAGTAAAGAACAAAAAGCCAGCCTGGAACGGTAGCTTATACCTGTAATCCCAGCACTTTGGGAGGCCAAGGCAGGTGGATCACTTGAGGCCAGGTGTTCAAGACCAGCCTGGCCAACATCACAAGACCGCATCTCTACTAAAAGTTAAAAAAAAAAAAAAAATAGCCAGGCATGGTGGCGCACACCTATAGTCCCAGTGACTCGGGAGGCTGAGGTGGGAGAATTGCTTGAGCCTGGGAGGCAGAGGCTGCAGGGAGCCAAGATCGCACCACTGCACTCCAGCCTCGGCAACAGAGCAAGACACCGTCTCAAACAAAAGCCAAACAAGAGTGAAGAGCCATGACTGCTGGCCACTGGTCAGCAGCATTGGATAGCAGCAAAAATAACTAATTGTTATTGAGCACCCACTGCTGTGCACCTGGCCCTGGATTAAGTGCTCTGCACACACCATCTGCACCTTTCACGGCGACTGCATGAGGTAGAACGATGATAACCCATGGTGCAGAGGAGGAAACAGTCTCAGCAACACCGAGTAATTGTCCCTGTGTCAGAAAACAAAGGACACGCACACCCAGGATGCAGAGCAGCATTTTCTTACTCCAGAGCACCTCCTCTCTCCTCGTGGGGCCTTGTTTGCTCGTCTGTAAAATCAGAAAACTGCACTCCATACCTCCAGGAGCCCTCAGCTCTGGAGGAGGCCCGTGGACATCATGAAATCGAGTCCTAGCACCTAACACACAAATGAGTAAATGACAAGGCAGACAGCTACGGCCCTCTCAGGACAGCCAGGCTCATCGTGGTCTCACTGGCACCCCAGCACCCGCGCTAAGTTCGCTCCGCCCGCTGCCACCATCAACACCTTTCTCCCCTCCCTCGTCACACACACCAGCTTGCAAGTGATCCACACGAGCATCTCTGTAGCCCACAGTGAGTGCTTAGGACATGCGGATGCAGCTGTCCCTGCTCGGAAATCCACCCTCTTCCACCAGCTCAGGGGCCCCACACACCATGTGGGAGGAGAAACCGTCACTTGCCATTTAAAAAATGGAAAAGCTGATGATTAGCCTCTAGGACGTGGAATAAAACTTTTTCAACTACATGGCTCTAGAAGAAGATAAGTTCATTACTTCAGATATAATGATGGACATTCCGAAATTTCTATGCTTAAGAAACAGAATTTTCAGCTATTAGAAATTTTAAAAATTCTGATAAATGGGCCTAAAGAGTAAAAATAATAAAAAGTCTTAAAAGATGCCTTAAAACAGGGGTTCCCAAGCCCCCTAACCCCGCCACGGACTAGCACCAGGGCCGCACAGTGGGAGGTGAGCTGGGCAAGTCAGCATGACCACCTGGGCTCTGCCTCCCGTCAGGTCAGCGGCAGCATCAGATTCTCATAGGAGCGTGACCCTTACTCTGAACTGCACATGCGAGGGATCTATGCTGCACACTCCCTATGAGAATCTAACTAATGCCCGATGATCTGAGGTGGGACAGTTTCATCCCAAAATGATGTCCCACCCCACGGTCCATGGAAAAATTGTCTTCCATGAAACTGGTCCCTGATGCCAAAAAGGCTAGGGACCACTGACTTAAAGGACTGTATAAAGGTTCTCTTCCTGCCCATGCTCCGGGAAATACAACACACCTCTTCCTACACCCAAACCGCTTCCCAGGCACAGAACGCACCACCTAGCTTCCCAGGCACCGCCTCACAGACCAGCCACCATTCCACCACCACACTCCTCTCCAGTCGAGCACACGCTCTGTGCCTCCAATTTATTTGGCAGGAGTCCGGCTGTGAGCTCCTGTGAGCGTGGTGTGCCTCTCTTGGTTTCTTCGGTGCTCTGCAGGGCAAGCAATACCTGCTGAGCGAAGGAGGAGCAGAAAACGCATGAACAGGGCCTGCAAAACAGCAGGCCAGCATCGCTTCTTGGGAGAAGAAAGGAAAGATTTTGGGGGTAGCCCCCAAGGAAATTATCTAGGGGATGTCTGATCTTCATGCATCGGCCCTCCATGGTCACACAGGTTTACAGCTAGCCATCATGTAAATTCCAGATGGGTGGGATACTGAGCAGACAGAAAGACAAAACTTCCTTTGGTTACCATTTGCATGGAAATGGTAACAGAGACAGCAGGGATAGCTACAGTTATATCAGACAAAACAGACTTTACGTCAAAAACTGTCTCTAGAGGCAAAGAAGGCCATTACCCTCCCTCTTCCACTGATAAAAGGGTCAATTCAACAGGGATCTATCACAGTTATAAGTAAGTACACACCCAAAACCAGAGCACCTAACTATACTAGCAGTATTAACAGAGCAAAAGGGAGAAACTGACAGCAATGCAACATAATAGGGGACTTCAATGTCCCATTTAAGATAATGGATAGAACATCCAGACAGGAAACAGCAGACCTGAACAGCACTGTATGCCAAGTGGACCTAACAGAGATAGACCGAACTTTCCACCCAAAAGCGAAAAACAGACATTCTTCTCTAGCATACACAAAAAATTCTTCAGGATATATCACATATTAGGTCACAAACAAGTCTTAACAAATTTTATTTCTTTTAAAAAAAAATTTTGTCTTAGAGACAGTCTCCCTCTGTCACCCAGGCTGGAGTGCAGTGGTCCAATCAAAGCTCCCTGCAGCCTTGAACTCCTGGACTTAAGCAATCCCCCTGCCCCAGCCTCCTGGATAACTAGGACTACAAGTGTGCACCACCACATCCAGCTAATTTTTTTTTTATTTTTATTTTTTTGCAGAGATGGAAGTCTTGCTATGTTGCCCAAGCTGGTCTTGAACTTCTGGTCTCAAGTGATCCTCCTGCCTCAACCTCCTAAAGCACTAAGATTATAAG